CTCAGAGCCACCAAATGCTCCTTAGCACAAAGGTCTTCATTCACAAAATATTCACAATATTCACTTCATCTCTGTTTGTGTATTTAAAAATATAAAAATATTTAATAGGGAGTTAAAAACAACATTGAGAATGCCTTCCCAGCTTACTGGCAGACTTATCTGCTCTTCTGGGGAGCCTGAACTGGAAAGGCCAGATCCCTAGCCACTGGGGCCCGAGGCGGCTGAGATAATGACTTAATTACCGCCTGCACTGGGCACTTTTGATCTTCAAGGAGCGGTGCCCACTCGGCTGCGCTGCTCTGGATTAAGAAAGCCTTGCCCAGAGATAAAGGGAAATGTGGTGTTTCGTCATTACAAATTGCTCTGAAATCTGCTCTGGCACCCAGCAGAGGCCTGGCTTGGATGCCCAGCTGGCCTCCACCTGCACAACCCAGGCAGGCAACGGGCAGCCGGGTCTTGGCCTGGGGCACGCTGGCTCTACAGGTGTGTGTACACTGCTTTTCGGGGCTGGAGGGAGGATCACTGACAGGGAGACAGTCCTGCATACGAAGGATTATGTCCCCATTTTCCAGATGAATGAACTGAGACTCAGGGCAGTCTAGGGACAAATCACTCTAGCAAGGCCGAGGTCAAAGGCAGAGGGCAACCAGAACGTGGGCGTGCCCTTCCCTGTCTCCTGCACCTTGGGACCGGGGATCAGGTGGGTGTGGGCTCTGGTCCTTTATTGCCCAGCGGCCACATCACCCTTCCTTCTCCCGCCCATAAACCTTAGAACAAGCTCCCTGTGTCATTCTTCTTTGACTATTAGTAGGGCCTGCTGGGAGGAACCCAGCATGGGGAACAGGTGCCCAGACTGTGTAACACTCATCAGCACTGGACTGTGAACAAAAGACCTGACTTCATGGCCTCTGCTGAGCCACCTTGTAAATGGGAGGCTAGTGTCCAACCTGAGTTCTGAAATGAAAACCTCTCCGGGGGAGTTCAGTTCATAAGAGGAGCTCAGCAGATGACAGCATCAATTCACTGGTGCCTAGCTCCAGGCAGGTGCTAGCGACCTGGCAGCTGGGATGGGGTGAGGGAGGTTTTGGGGTGAATTGAGACTGTATAATACACAAGGTATTGAGCTTGGTAATACCTTAACAAAGGTGAATTCTCCCTTCCAACCCCTTATTCCCGCCCTGCTTAGTAGCCAAGGCACTTCCAGTGCCTCTCTGGGGGGTGTGGGGGTGAGTTGGGGGGTAGTACCCACAGGGAGCCATCAGGGGAAGCTAGCAGCAATTGTCCCACCTGCTACAGCTCCCCCACTCCTTCGGCCTATTTGGGGCACCTGACTCACTTTAATTATGCGCCTGCAGGCACGTTGGGGCCCGCCTGGACGCCAGAGATAGCCCAGAAGCACCCGGCTCCAGGAACTACAGAACCTGAGCCACCCTCACCTCCCACCAGCACCCCTGGAGATACCTGCAGCTGCCCCGCCTCCAGCTGGGGGCCCTCTTGACCTCCTTGCACCGTTTAACTAGCCATTTAGGATCCTAATTGTTCCTGGCGAGATGCACGGGGTTGGTCTCCCTCTGCACAAATCGGGAGTCAACCAGGGGTCCTGGCAGTGCTCTCGGGACCTGGGTGGGGATGCCCCGTAGAGCCTGAGAGCCGCGCCCACGCTCTAGGGCCGCCCACGTCTCCAACTCCGAGGTATATTTAGCTTCATTATCAAATGTTTGCGCTGAACCGTGTGAACTGCCTAATAGCGGGTGGAAGTGAAACTCGATTCCGGAGCAGAAAGAAACATGTGACCACGTCTAATCAGTAAGGATCACCGACGGGGCACCCGGCAGGTGCTGCAGCCCCCAGGCGCCTGGCCTGGGTGTGTGCAGTCCCCTTTCCGGCCTCCCGGAAACCCACCTCCTCACTCAGCTTCCTTCTCCAGGGTCCGATATTAGGGCAGTTGGGTTTTGAAGAGAGGAACCACTGCCGGGAGGGAGTCCAGGAGGGCGGGGGTTCTCGCTCAAGTTGGTGGCCTGCTGGTCAACTCAGTTTCCATTCCAGTTCTCGGAAACAGCTTCTAGGGATCTATTCCTGCTGGTGTCTTCCGAGGATGGGGAGGATTGATGGGGGTGGGGGGAGGGGCCTCTGTCTCGCCGGAGGGAGGGCCTAGAACGCGTAGCCTGACCCTAGCCTCTCCCAAACACGGCTGTCGTTACTGCAGAAGTTTTTGCCACCCTCGCGCGGCCGCTGTTGTCGTGGTCGCTATGACGACCGGCCACGGGTTTTACTTTTAATAGCGACCGGCGATTAGAGAGATGCCTGCTCTTCCCCCCCCCAGCCCCCACCTCGCAGTTCTCCAATCACCGCGAGAGTGCACTAGGGTCTTCCTTCTGCTTCCCACTCTCACTCTCGACTCCAGTGGAAGGAACCTCCCTCCCGGGTGCGCAGATTCACCTCCTGGCCCCCAGCGCCCGAACTGGGCATTCCCTGGAAATGCTGGGCCCAGATCGACCGGTACAGAGCAGGTGGGGACCCCTAGGAAATGGAGAACCCTAGAAGGTGCCAGGTCCCTGCAATATAACGACCTTTTCTCCATTCTCACACCACTATCAACTAAAGCCCTTTACTGCCTTTACCCCCCAGTGCCTTTGGGTCCCCTAGCCCTAGAGAAATCCTCGAGGCTTATTAACTTGGGGTGATAGTCTAGTCTCAGGACTGGTAGGACACAGGTTCCACCCAAGTTTAGCCCAAGGCCTGATAGTATACGTTTGGGTGCTTTTGCATACTGTCCAGTACATCTTGCGCTCCAATTCAATAGAAGGTTCCACTTGGATGGACAAGGACTGGCTTTCACGTGATTCTGAATGTTTCCAAGTTTCCCCAACTTCTGCCTCTGTCTCTTCCTTTTCGCCCCTTCCAGACCACTTGGAGAGCATGCTTGAAGGGGAGGGGGTGGCTGCAAGGGGCTGCAGCCGAGCAGGCGGGGATGTTGAGGGGACGGAAGGTGTGTGGAAGCTTGTGGAAATGCGTGTAGACCGGGGTCCTCTGGGAAAGGCTGGAGAGGCCCGCTCCCCCCACCCCCAACAAGGTATTTTTGGGAAGGCGAGCGCCCCCGGACTCGGCTTTGAAATGCCGGAGCCTGCCTAGCAGAGGATGAAAGACCGCCCGCGGGGCTGCGCCTTTACTGCCTTTGTCTGGCGGGAGGGCAGCCGCGGCGGGGCGCGGGCCTAATCCATAGAATGGGGGCTGAAGGCTGGCCCCGGCGAAATCCCCCTGGGCCACCTACCCATCTTTCCACCGGTGGTCTCCTAGCCTCCAAGGGTGTCGGCCGTCAAGGTTTGCGATCGTATAGCCCGTCTCCCTTCTAGCACAGGCGCCAGGGTTCGTGCGCCCCCTCTAGGGAGGGCCACGGTGTGCGTGTGGGGGGGCTGTGACCAGGCTCGCAACCAGGAGCCGATCCCACCAGGTCTAGGCAGGCGGATTTCACCCTGTCTGGGCGAACACGCCCTGTCGCGGTAGGGGAGAGCGGTCCAGCCGCGATCAGACCTCGGCCTCCCAGCGCGTCGCTTCCCCGCGTCGCTCTCGGTGCGGCGCCTTGGCCGGAGGTGGCGCTCTGTGCGCCCCGAGGATCTGGACGCGCGAGGCTCAGACTCCGGGGGTTCCTCACGAATCGCTCTTTTCTCATCCTTCCCTTCCGCCCCTCGAATTTCCTACTCAGGCCTCGGCTTGGCCTTTCACGAGGGCGTGGGGGCGCAGGGACCCAGGGTGGGTACGAGGCACGCTGCAGCCCCCTTCTCCGACTTGGGCACACTCCCATCTCGGAATGTGGGTGGAGGTTCCTCTTTCAGACGCCTCAGGCATCGGATTCTGGGCGGGGGCGCGTGGCAGCCGCCAGGTGAGTGCCCCAGACGCGCCCCTAAACCCGCCCCACCTTTCACCACTTACTCCCCCTCCCTTCATGAAGAGGGGGAGTCAGGGGCCCCGCATCCAAACGGTGGAAAGAGGCCGGAGCGCCGGGGCGGGGACCGGCTCTCTCTTGCCCTTTTTGGCGTAGTAGCTCTGGGCGCTGCCCTCTGCCGCCGCTGGGGCCCGAGAGAGGCGAGCCGACGACGGCGGCGCTTCTGCGGCGGCCTCCTCCCCTCCCTGTCCGGTGCCGCAGGATTGCAGCTGGCACTGGAGGGTGGGCAAGCTCAAGGGAGGGGCAACGCCGGGAGCCCCGGGCGAGCGGAGCCGGGCGGCTGTGCTTGAGCCCT